AGATCTTCACTTCCCCTGAGGTCCCCCAGCCCCTGCTTGTGATATAGACCCGTGAGCAGACGTGTCACCTACTTCACGCTCCCCAGGAGGCACCTGCTCTCACATGAAGTATAAACAGGCACTGTTATCATCAGACCATCTTGGCCCAGTTTGTCCAGGAGCTCCTCATATTAACCCCGGAACTCCCGTGTCACCCTCCAGTACCCTTGCTCTGCTTGGCCCAGCCCTGAATTAGGAGCTGGCCAGGCGGGCTACCGGAGGCAGGGGCCTTGGGCACGTCCTCCTCTATCAACCTGTGCCAGGTTGTGGGAAAGAGCAGGGCTTGGTGACACGTGACCGAGTAACACCCCCCACAAAGCTCCACGACTGCTGAGCGGCGGCGCTCTCCTGCTGACGGCCACCAGTCTCCACCAAGGAGGACACTGAGATCAACTAGGGGCAATCTGTGCCTTTTCCACACTCTGGCCATGAAACTGGGGCAACTGGTTTGCGATAACAGGCATGAGCTTGGGGTTCCCCAGGAGTGTGGGCTGTGCACACACCAGGGCCCTTTCCGTGTCCGAGGTGGGCTGCCGAAGGCAGGGAGGATTGAGGCTCCCCAGGAACACCCTGAAAGGACACGTGGTTGCTTGCGGCTGGGCTCATGACTGGGTTTGGGCACCACGGAGCACTGGGAGGCCAGCTTCTGTCTGCTCGTGGAGTCTGTGGGTCGGGAATCTAGCCGGGGCACAGCACATCTGCCCCTCAGCGTCTGGGGCCGCAGTGGGGGCGTCGTGAAGACTGTGCTGGTGAAGCTGTGGGAGAACAGCCCCTGCTGGTGGGAGTGGAGGGTGCTTGGGCGATCATTACCAAGGCGACCAGTGCCCGTGCCCTCTGACCCAGCCAGTTGTCTTTAGGAAATGATCCCACCGGAAGGTGTGCACGCGGGCGCCGGGAAGTTGTGCAAGCACACGGATTGCAGCCCTCCTGGAAACAGTGAAACACTACTGGGGGCTGCCTAATAAAACCCTGGCATCTCTGACCACGGCGTGCGCGTACTGTTAGAGCCGGTGTCTGCCCAGAGTGATCTCCAGGGTACGGCGAAGTGAACACCAGTCGCACAGCCTGAGTACAGTATGCACCCTCGGGGTGAAAGGAAACAGTTGTTGGTAGCTGGATACATTTGCCTCTGTCTGAGTATCGGTACAAGACGCATAAGAGAGGTACTTAGCTCTAGCAGGTGTTAAGGACTAGGTCCTCGGGAGACCAGGATCCGAGAAACCTACTGTCACTGCATATTGTTTTGTAATTTGAATTTGACGCCGGGTGAATATATTATCCATTCAGAATTAAAATTCTATTTTTAAGATGCTCACTTTTGATGCTTTTGGTCGTTAAGTCCAGACCGTCATGTGAACACAGTATACCAAGATGTCTTCGCTTGCTTCCCGGATGCCCACCATGTGCTGTGCAGCACGCGAGCAGACATAGCCCGTTGCTCGTGCTCACAACAGGCGTGCATGGCCGCTGTGTGAGAATGGGTCAGCCGTGTTCATCCCACCCGTGCCTTTCTACACTCTCCCCTGCAGCCAGGCCTGGAGGCCTGCAAAGTGCACTTCGCAGACGCCCCTGTCGGGTGACTCGGCCTACAGCAGGCATGGGCAGGGGTTCCGGGGACGGGAGGGAGGGAGAAGCCATCCAGGCCAGGGTGCTGTGGCGCCTCGGGCCACCGTGGTGACAGCAGCACCCCCAGGGGTGTGGCGCTCAGCTCCTGCTCCAGCAAGTGGGAGTCACGGTTCTGGGAAACACTATCTTTTCTTTTGCTCCCCCGATCTCAGGGGCCACAACTGCTCCCGCCAGTTACTGGGCTGCGGGCGTTCTTATTGTCGCTTTGCTTTTCCTGCCCTCCCAACACCTCTGTAAACTCCTTCTGCTTGAAATACCTACAGTGGCTTTGCCCCCTAACTAGACACTGACTAACACACAGAGAAAGTTACCCCCATTTTACAGAGGACAAAACGGAAACGCAAAGAGAGGAAGTGACTTAGCCAAAGGCAAACCCGCTACCTCTCCTCCCTCACCATGCTCCAGTCAGCCTGGTCCCATTTCTGGGACACATCAAGCTCGCTCACACTCCAGAGCCTTCACACGGATTCTCTCGGGGCAGAACATTCTGTCTCCAGGTCTACCCGAGCACACTCTGTCCATTCAGGTCCCAGGCAAATGTTACCTCTTGAAAGAGATCTCCTCTAGCCCCCCATAGTCTCCAAGTCACTCTACTACATCATCCTGCTTTGTTTCTTCTTAGAAATTCTCTGAAAATAAGTACCTGGTTGTTATCTCACTAGACGGAAAAGCCCATGAGACCAGGAACAGTGTTCATCTTACCAAATGCTGTGTCTCTGGTGCCTAAGAGTGTGACACAGAGTGCACTCAATACTTATTTGCTAAGAATGAATGAATGAAAAGGGTGCTCAATGATTTTGGAGCACCAGCTAGGACCCACCTTTCCTGCTTTCTGTCTGGTAGCAGTTCAAGGGTCTCTTCAGGAGGCTTCACTGCCTGGGAGGCCACAGGAATTCCAACTTCCACCATTCAGGCTGTGCCCGCAGTGGGTGCTCAGTTAGTACACGCTGAGGGAACGATCCTGCCTATAAACCTTCCAAAAGACGTCTGTGCAGTAAGAGTGATCCAGAGGCAACACTGGGGGGTGAGGGGGTCCATGTCATGTCAGCCGACTGGAAGCAGATGGCCTGCTAGACGTTAAGTGCAAGAGCCGGGGAGGTGGGAAGATCGGCCTAGGTGCACAGCTGTTTGCGTACCGACCTTTCCTCTGTGCATTAGACATTGGCCTGGGACCTGTCCTCATTGATGAAGACAATGGCATTCCCAGGCTCCTCCCGAGGCGTACCATGGCGTAGTGTAATCTCTGCAACCAGACAGCTTGGGTTCAGTCCCCGGCACCATTCCTGACCGGCAGGGTGACCTTGGAAAGTCACTCAGGTCCTCTGTGCCTCGGTTGTTACACAATAACAACGTTGATAATAACAGCATCACTTTCACGGGGTTGTTGTGGAGATCAATAGTTAAATCACTTAACATATTTAGAACAGGGCTTGGCTTGACAGCACCATCGGCTGTTACTGTTACCTGTGTAACATGTATGTGCAAGTTCCATACATGTATCATCTTATGTGATGCTCAGAGCAGTCCTGTGAGGAGAGGTACTAATATCACCCCCACTCTACAAACAAGGAAACTGAGAAACAGGTTATAGAAGCAGCCCTAGATGCAGAGTGTGGAGCCAGGCTTCAAACCCAGCTGTTCTAGAATCCCTAGAGACCCTCTTCATCACCACTCTGGTCCAGAGAAAACGGGTCTGTCTGTAGGTAATGACAAGGCAGCGTGGTAATTGTTCAGAGGTCTCTAGCAATGCGGTACATACACACTGGCTCTGCGAGGCCGTGTTGTGTGACCTGAGCAGGCACTTCTGAGGTACCCGACAGGCCTACGGTCTAAAGGATAGTTGGCTGGGAGAGAAAGACACTTTAGGGAAAGCGTGGACTCGCTCTCCTGGCAAGTTCCAGGCAGGAAAGAGAGGCAGTAGAAGCTGGCGAGATAGACAACCTCCAAACGGTGGAGGGGCTTCTAGATTGTGCTAAGGAGCTTGAAGTCCATCATATAGGTAATGAGGGACTCTAAGAGGATTTCAAGCGTTTAAATCTACTGTAGAACGTGAGCTGGAAGGAGATACGGATGCATCCTCAATGCTAAGAGTGCGATCTACACCTGACAGCCCCGTGCCCAGGCGTGCTGAGTTCCGCCAGACTTTTTCCTATCTCGGAATCTGGAACAGATTTTGACATACAAGAGTTGCTCAAATATTTATGGAACCAACTAACGTGTCCTAACGTTGTCTGTGGAAAACAGGAGAGGGACGACAAGTTCCAACACTGTGAACGCTCCTCCTCCAAATAGCCCAAAGGTCCGTTGGAGTAGCGTCTACGAATCACCGGGTCCGGTTTCGTCCATCCTGACTCTTTGCAGCAGCGTCCAGGCAGGGCTCCCGCCAGGCGGGGTGATTTGCCCTGCATATACCCTCAAAGACACCGAAATAGAAGATTGATTATGTTCACGTCCCCGCACCAAGACAGGAGTGGGCTGTGCGGTGGAGACGAAAGGGCCTAAGGGGCCCTATCTAATAAAACGGGCTTTTCCCTACAAAGGATGCTGTTTCTTCCATAGCAATGATCACTTGTAGTTCTTTCTCTTCTTTGCTTTGAGACCCTCGATTCCAACAGTCTGTGAGCAGGGGCTTTCGTGGCAGAAGGGACCGCGTCTGTCTTGTCCCCACAGCATCCCTGGAGTGCAGGGAATTCGGGGGAAGGCAGCGGGAGTAGCGAGGGCCTCTGAGAAAGGCCGGTGGCGCCTCCGGCCCCTCGGTGACCTTAGCGGGGAGAGGCGGCTGTGAAGGGCAGGTCGGGCCGCCTTCGCGGAGGGCGAGACCCAGGCGCCGGCTGCCCACGCCGGCGGCGGGACCGGGGCGAGGGCGGCGAGCGCGGGTAGGACCGGGAAGCGGCGGGCGGGCCGCACAGAAAGCGCGGCGCCCCTCGGCGACTGCAGCGGGCAGCGGCGGGACGCCTCCCGCGCGGTGCTTTGGGAGTTGTAGGCACTTTCTTTCCACTCTCCCGCTCTTTGCTCTTGAAGCCCAAGCCCGTACAGGCGGGCGGGCGCCTGTGACTCCTAGGCTGCGAACTCTGGGAATTTTTCATTTCTAAAAAGATGCCCTGAATAGGACTCTTCCCAGGGTGCCTCCTTCGCTCCGTCCGGCTTGAGGACTACATTTCCCAGGCGACCTCAAAGAGGCGGGGCTTCCGGCGCGCGCGATGCACTGTGGACATTGTAGTCCTAGGAGGGACTCGATTTCCACCTCCTGTATAGTCCGGAGTTGGGCCCGGACTACATTTCCCTTCCGTCCGCCCACTATCCCGAGGCCGCCTTGGCGCGAGACATTTGCGAGCGGAGTGTCTCCAAGATGGCCGGTTGGGGAAGGAGGCGTCTTGGCCCGGGCAGCAGTGGCGGCAGCGCCCGAGAGAGGTGAGATCCGGGGGCCTGTTGCTTTCCCAGGGCGAGTGGCTCAGGAGCCTGGAGGCCAGTGAGGGCTCCTGGGGCTGCAGCGCTGTCCCTGCCTTCGTCCCCGGGCCCCCCTTTCCGCCCACCCGCCCTCCTCGTAGCCCTGCGGGGCACGAGGGGTTCCTGTCCCGGGCGATCCAGGATCTGGATGGGAGCCGGCACCCGCTCTAGCCCGGCTGAAGCGGCCTCCGCGGAGGGCTCAGGGGAGGTGACGATGGCGGGGCCGGGCGAGGTGGGCCGCGTCCGTACAGGGGCCGGGCCGGGCCGGGCCCGGGCCACGCGGGAAGGACCGGGAGCCCCGCGCAGGCCCAAGGGACCCGCCTATAGCATCCCGCGGCCGAAGCTCCCGTCCCGCCTGGCCACGAGCGTGGCCGTCTGGGCCGCGACCCCTGACGTGGTGAGGAATGGCTCCCGGGAGGGAGAAGGAAGGGAAGCCTTCACCGAGTGGGCCAGCTGCGGGGAGGGCAGTGCGGTCTGCACGTTTGTCAGGGTAGCTTTAACCTTCCCCAGTTTGTCTCCCGGGCCGAGAGCTGGCCGCTTCCTCGAACCCTCGATTCTTGCGACTTTTCGAGGGTTCTCTGCAAGCGCCCCAGCCGTGGAAGTCCTTTAAAGTGACCTTTCCTAATGAATGATGTGTGGGTAGGGAGCTAGGGGCTTGTTTCTTCCAAGGTGGATCTCGATTTGGAGAACTGATTTCTAGAAGATGGGATTGGAATGGTTTTTGTGTTTCGTGTTGAATTTACAGGTTTTGCTTCAGGAAAGCAGTTTCAGCTAGTAGAAGCCGCTAGAAGCTGTTCAGCTACTAGAAATTTGGGGAAGGATTTGTATTGGTGGAGTCACCTGGATTCAGCTGCTCTGTCCATTGTGTTGTGGCTTGGTTGGTATAGCTGAGGTTAGCAAGAAAGTTGGGTGTTTGCTTTTTTTTTTGTCTCTTTGGAAAGCCTTATTACCCAGAAAAGTTCTCTTTCTCCCCACCCCCCCACCGCCTTTCTCTTAACTCTCATTATTCCTTTTCTTTGATTCCATCACGTATTCATTGCTGTTGCCTGCAGATGGTTTTTTCAGCTCAGAAGACTCTTCCTGTTTGGTAGTTGGGATAGACCAGCTTACATTTTATTCTTAAGCTCAGAGTTATCCAACGTTGTCTGTTCTGCACTTCCTCTTCTGTGGAAAAGCAGTGAATGGCAAGCAGATAATTTTTGTCTTTCCAACTCCCATGTGCTATTTCTTAGATCAGACCATAGGAAGAAGTTAAAGAAGTGACCTCGATGGTTTCCAGATGGCCTTTAAACCTGCAAACGTTTTCAAATCTTTAATGCGACCATTAATCCTGTTTAGAAAAGCCGGAGTAGCTGAGAGAAAGCCATTTCTCCCTCCTGGATAAAAACAGCTGGAAGGGCCAAATAGGAATGCCCCAGACACCATACAAGGAGGGCTGCGCCATCACAAGTTAAGCTTTTATTGATCTAAGAAATGAGATACTGGGGCTCTTATCTCCTTGGTTGGAGACGGGCATCAATTCAAAACGGAGTCTGTAAACTAGCAGCCCATAGGCTGAATCCAGCCCTTGACTGTTGATTCTCAGGTTTTAAAAAGAATTTAAATCAGTTGCCAATACTTATAAGTTGAAAGATTTCACATAAAACTGCCCTTGAAAAGCTGAGTAGTGGCTGACTTTTTTTGGTCAGGGCAAGTGCTCTCTAGTTCATTACTCACCTGACAGCTTGACTCATTGCAGTTACCTGCCTAGTCTCCCTAGGTGTGCAGGTTGCAACCTTTGGCCTGGAACTGAAGGCTCTGCTCACAAATGCAGATGCTGTCTGTCAGCCAGGAATGGAGCATCAAATTTTGTGATTCGGGTGGCCCCATCTCTCTCTCTTCCAGATAACTGTGGTGTGTGGCTGGGGGAGACCCTTCTGTTTGCCTTTTCTGGGAGGCCCTAGCCACGCTCTGTTGGAGGAGTCATCTGTCTGAGCCCAGTTTCCCTACTATCCTCCCACACTGAGCAGGGGATGGAAACATAACCCGCTGCTGGGCCAGCTAGCTAACGTCTGGGCACACCTCCATTCCTGCTCAGTGGGTGGAAAGACTGTTCGGGTGGGGCAGGCTGGATTAATTGATTGCCCAGCACCGTAGATTAAGAGGCCCAAGCATATTATTGGCTCTTACGACTGAAATAGGCTGTTTATGGCTCTCTTAAATGAGTTTGTTCCATGTCACATTTGTGCTGACTCAAATCTCAGCTTCACATTGGAAGACCACTTTCCAGAATTGCTTGACACACCCAGTTGGAGTCTGCTTTATGCTGAAAGCGAAGGACACATTGCCTGGTTTGGGGCAGGAGCTGGAGCAGAGCAACACTTTGGGCAGGCTTTCCAGATTTGCCAGTGGCTGCAAACTCCAAGGCATGACTTGTATTTAAAGGCCCGGCCCAGGGCCGTACCATCCACCGGCATTACTGACCTCAGCTCTGTATTAACGGTGGTCCACTTTAGAATGCACAATGTGTGAATTCTTTACCTGGTTCTTGAGTCTAGAGCTGTGTTCATTCTGTAGCCACTAGTCACATGTGGCAATTAAATTTCAGTTAATTAAACACAGGGGCCCCTGGCTGGCGCAGTCAGTAGAGCGTACAACTCCTGACCTCAGGGTTGTGAGTTTGAGCCCCATGTTGGGTGTAGAGAGTACTTAAAAAAAAAAAAAAATCTTAAAAAATTAAATAAAAATAAATAAAATGAAAAAAATTCAGATCCTCAGTCACACTAGTCACATTTCGCTCAGTGGCCACGTGGGACTCGGGGCTACCACATTGCGTAGGGCAGCTGTGGAACCGCTCCGTCACTGCAGAACGTTCTAGTGATGCGACAACGCTGGTCTAGACTACAAGACGAGAGGGGTGGAAATAGCAAAATGCCAGCTGCTTGCATGTTGATTTTTCTCTCCACTCCATTAAATCCAGGGACTCAGCAGTGTTTGTCATGAAGAACATCAGACTCTGAGCTGTAACCTGAATTCTTGTCCAGAATTCAGCACACTGGCAACGAGCACACGAAACAGATTGCCGCTTGTCCCGTCGGCGTCTTTGAGACACACTTGCCCATCTAGGAAGGCCCAGGGCAGGTATCTGTGTGTCCTGCCTCTTGGGTGCCACCCCGGACCAGCTCACAGACGGTCCCGCCCGTCCTACTTGGGCTGCTTGTCTTCACTCCCTCAGGGCCTCCGAGCGTGATTGTTGGAATGTGAGTATAACCACGTACTCTCAGCTTCCGCTCCTCTCATCATGTGAAGATCTACTTGATCTGATTCTGATCACGATGCAAGGCAGCAGTGCTGTTTACGGACCTGGGGTGTTCAGAGGGCCGGGCCTCCTGGCCTAAATGCTCAGGTGTTCGGGAGAAGGCACTGCCTGCGGCCCTCCCCCTCCCCTGGCCTGTGTGGCCGTCTGCCCGTGTTTTTAGGGAGCCAGGTCCGTGGGATTGTGTCCCCGTCTTTCTGTACCATATACCTTCTTTCCCAGGACTCGGTCCTCCTTTTCTGACAGGGTGGCTTTAATATGTGAAGTGAAGAGACGTGGTCCTGGATGGCCGGTAGGGAGTTTAGGTCCCGGTCCAGCTGAACAGATGGGCCCCCAGCCATGTGGGCAGTTGGCCCACACTCCGGGAGTGAGACTCTCCTCATCCTGATCTGTTCTTTTCCTTCTAAAGCTGAGGACCCTAAGTGGTCGGGGGTATTTTTTTTTTTTTCTTTTTTTCTCTTGGAAAACTGCCTTTCCGGCTCTAGTATGCGGTAAAAGTGTTTCTTCCGTCCTGCTCTGGATGAGCCACACAGGTAGAGCGTCTGCACCCGGGTCTCTGGGTGCGTGGGTCCTCCCCAGCTGGCTACCAGAAGGTGGAGTCGTGCACACTTAGGCCACCTGTTCTGACCCCGGAACGTGGATATTGCGAGTTAAGGTCATCTGTGGGGTTCGTCCTCTTAAGGCACGATTTTCCATTTTCCTGCGTCGAGTTGAGCAGTCTGGTTCCAGCCGCAGTACCTTGTGCCTCGGGGGTTTAGTCCTTTAGGCCCCGTTCCAGCTCCATCCCAACTTCCTGAAGAAGGGCGAGATAATCTCGTACGCGGGGAGGGGAGGCCGAGGCCCGGCCTGAGTTGGGCTTCTCCGTCCGGGGCCTCGGTGAGCAGGGGCAGTGGGAGGACGTGGGAGGTCCTCCACGGAGCACACCCTTGGGCACCTCCCAGCTGCCACTGTGTTCTGTCCCTGCCGCCAGCAGCAGCATTATGGGCCACGGAGTTCTGGGGAGAGCCAGTAATCGCTTAGTAGAGTCGTAGGAGTCCTTGAGCTCAGGGCTGTTCGGTAGGATTTTCTGCCGTAAGAGAAATGTTCTGTCTCTGCGCTGTCCATTAGGGGAGCCGTTGGCCGCAGGTGGCCGTGGAGTGTTCGAGGTGTGGCCCCCGTGTCTGAGGAACTGGAGTTGTTAACTTGACAGTTTTAGTTAATTAATTAATTAATTAATTTTTTAAAAGATTTTATTTATTTATTCGAGAGAGAGAGAATGAGAGATAGAGAGCACGAGAGGGAAGAGGGTCAGAGGGAGAGGCAGACTCCCCGCTGAGCAGGGAGCCCGACATGGGACTCGATCCCGGGACTCCAGGATCATGACCTGAGCCGAAGGCAGTCGCTTAACCAACTGAGCCACCCAGGCGCCCTGACAATTTTAGTTAATTTAAATAGAAACAGCTGCGTGGGCCTTACACTGGGGGGTGCTTTGCAGCTGTCCCTTTGGCTGGCATAGCTGACCCCATTCCACCCTCGCTGCGGCACTCACTCGGGAAGAGCTGGGGCCTTTGCCCTGTTTGACCCGAGGCAGCGTGGCTTAGAGCAGCAGGGGCTTTTGCCCTTGGCTACAAAGCCAGCGGGTCACCGAGAGGAACTAGAATCCAGGTCTCCGGCCTCCCCCACTCGGTGC